GGCCTACCTCTACTCCACTCTACCCCTAAAAAACAAAAAGTCAACTTAACTTCTGTAAGAATCACTTATTAGGTTGATAAAGCAAACAATAATCCTCCCATTACCTACCATTTTTAAAGAAGATAATATTTATCATACCCATTCAAAGGAATATAATTTTCAAATAGAGCTCACAAGGATATAGAAATCATTTCAGCACAAGGAAACAACAGAGCGTTGTTTACTGAGGGAAAAACTAACACACTGTTAGGTCTAAGCACTGGTAGTAAGCCTTCATCAACGTGTTAACAGCCTTGAGAATCTTAATTCATTTGAGCTTGGCTCTTTGCTTTTAGACAGGGCAGCAGGGCAAAACACACAGCATTGAAAATGAACATGCTAATATGTGGAAACACAGCCAAGCTATGTACAGCTTTCTGCTGAACTGGAGCACCTGCTTGGGACAGAGGTCAGCTTCCAAGCCTTGCACATATGACCTCGCATCAGATGTGGTCGTTTTGAAATGAAAAAAGTTCTTTAAGTCTGCACATTCTTTTGTTTATAGATCCCAATTTCTAGGGACCCACTCCTGAATTCCGTGAGTGAAGGCTGTGTACTGTTTAAACACAGCCTTGTGGCAGGACTCAGAACTACGCTGAACGGCTTAAACACAGTATAAATTACAATTTCCAGGGTGACAAAGAGACTGGGGCGGGGGGATCAAAGCCAGGGAGAGAAAACCATGCATAGCAGAGGTTGGCAGCCTGAAAACCACTGTCCCTAAAGCCCCAGGGACTGACAGCCATGATGTCTAAGTTGAAGGAGACAGAAAACATTCCTTTTACGACAGAACACTGTTATTTGTGCTAAGAATTACACAAATGTGCGGCTCAGTGGGTAAGTGCCTGCTGTTGAAGCCTCTTGATCTTCTCAGTTGTCCTTTGACCTCCACATACTGTGACTGAACATGAGTGACACACACAAATACTAAATTTTAAGTAAAAAAAAATTAGTGAATGCTGAGTTGCACTCTAGCATTTTGCCTCCCTTCAATGCTTGTAATGAACCACTGACGTGATTTCAGTCACAACCCGCAGTTTGGCAAGCATCACTCCAGAAAAACACAAAGGTCCAGAGTTGACCTGTTAATAAAGCAACTTGGGCAGACACAAAAAGCCTCTTGGTCTGCACTTCCCCATTCCCCTCCTCTCCCTGCTGTCTTTTTTGGCCTGTGACTGGTGCCTGCCAACTCCTGCACCTCCTTTATTCCAGCAGAGGCTTTAAAGGCACAATAATAACCCCATGAGCCTGTCACATGACTTGTGGGACACCACACAGCACTCAGAACTGGAGGCAGAACTTGACTTTTAAGACATTATTTAACCTAGCAATGCAAGGTACTGCATTTTGGATGATTTTACAGCTGAATTTCATATATCTAATCAACTCAAAAGTTGGGGATATACGAAGGAGACTGAAATGTACACTCATAGTTCTTAGAATCATGAACCACTGATGTGATTATGATATAGTAATTCACTCAGCATCACAAACCTATGTCTCAATGATGGTGAAAAATCACCAGCCTGCCTACTTCTCTGCCCAACAAAGTCCAATGTTGTTGCATTTGACCTGGTTATTGACTGATAACAGAGACAAATGAAAAAGTGACACCTACCCTCAGCCAGGGTCAGAGCTTCCATGACCTTAACAGGGAGAGATGATCCAAACATCCTCACATCGTAGTTCACAGACTCTGATATGGAATGGTGGGGGTAGATACGTGTAGGTGTTCCTCTAAAGAAAAGAAACAGTCTAACATAACTTGTAACCTGAAATTCCCCACTATCCTAGCCTTTACGAATCTACACATCAGAGATCTCTAGACGTCAGCTTGTATGCACTATAACTGACTGTCTTTCTCGACACAACTCTGGGAAACCTGGTGTCTTAGTTGCTTCCCACTGCTGTGATACTGACCACAAGCAAAAACAACTTACGGAGAAAAGAGTTTATTTCAACACAACTGGCTTCTGACCACAGATCCAGTAACTAGGAGCCAGCCCACTTTTACCTCTAAGATCAGTACTGTGAAGAAATCTTTTCAAAAAAAATAAAAGTCAAAGCCAGGCACGAACAGGAGGCAGAGGCAGGCAGATCTCTGCATTGTTTGAGGCTAGCCTGATCCACACAGTGAGTTCTGGGACCCTGTTTCAAAAACACAAAGACAAGGACCACACGTGCTCTCTAAGCATCAGTTATTCTTTGAATTATCACAAGACTTGTAGACTTATAAACTTTAACCATTAAGTCTCAGTCAGATTAGGTATTTCCTGTTTTCATGCAGGAGAAAGTCATTTAAAATTTACATATATTTATATATATACATATGTGTACATGTATACTATATGTGTGTGTGTATGTATGTATTTGGAACCCTTGGAACTGGAGTTACAGGTGGGCGTAAGCCCATCTGACGTGGTGCTGAAAATGGAGCCTCTTGAAGAGCAGCAAGTGCTCTTAGCCTCAGAGCCATCTTTCCATCCTGGAAATTCACTTCTGAAGCTGATCAGAAGAAACTCCTCTGGAAGGAAGGTACCCTGATTCTGAATTTCTGTATTAACTACAGGGAGGAGGGTTAATGCTTCTCCTGAACATGTACACTGGCCACCACATCAGCAGCTTCAGTAAAACAGTCTCTCTTTCTCATAGAAAGTCTGTTTTATGTACCCTAGTCACAAAGTCACGTTTTGTGCCCAAAGGCCTTTAATTGCCAATCAGCGCATAGTAATGGCAGTTGTTAGGCAATGAGAAACCATGTTGCCAGGGTTTGTAGGTTCTCACCATGAGTCAGGTCTGTGTGGACACTGAATACTGAATCCTGTGACTTTGATAAGGATGCTGACATCCTGATAGGAAGGCGGAACTGTTAAATAGAATTATGGTAGCCAGGCAAGCTACTCCACGCTGGAAGTATTAGTCCTGAAAAGTGGAGACAGAGGATTGAGCAGTCAGCCGGAGGAACACAGCACGACCTGTCTCAAAGTGGGCAAAAAAGATTGGACCAGGCCATAATGAGTTACTAGGGTCAAATGTCGCAGCGTCGAGCCACAACTTCAAGCAAACGACTCCCTGAAACTGACCTGGTTTCCTTTCCTGCCTGTGTCAATATAATAAAGGAATCACTTTTGCTTTAATCTTTACAATAATCTAAAGTATGTTTCTACCTTACAGACATTGCTTTGATACTGCTCAAAAGGTGCTTTCACTCTTTTCTGCGGCGTGGAGACTGAGTGAATTCACGAATCCAATAAAAAGTTAGACAGAAGAAGTGAAAAACGAGGGCCACCCTTGAAAAGCGGCAATAAGACGCCAAGAGTGGCCACGGCTACTTTCCAACTCTGCGGCCGCTTATGCCGCTGCCCGTTCCATCTGGCCGCTTTGGCGCTGAGCCTGCTGGTCGCCGAACCCCCGCTTACCTAGAGCTCACCGAGCTGCGCCGGCCTACCGGCGAGAAGAGCACAGGCGAGCTAAGCGCGGACCCCAGAGACAGACCCCTCCTGCTCGCTCTAGGCGTGGACGCCGGCCCGATTCCGACAAGCGGACCCCGTCGGGTCCCTGGCCCCGGGGTCCGCGGGGAGGAGACAGCTGGAAACATGTCTGTAGGGAGCGTGGAGAGAGCTCCACTCGCGGGCGAGAAGCGTGAGCCTCGCGCGCCGGGAGCTTGAACACCAGAGGGGCGGGAAGGCGCCTGGAGATTACGTAAACACAGGGCGCAGAACGGGGAGAACAGAGAAGAGAAGGCGCGTAGCTATGACGACAAAGCCCGGCGCCGAGCTGCAGGGCGGGGTCGGAACCGGAAGCGCACGTGTTGGCGTCACATCCAGTACCGGGGCGCGAACCGTTTTGAGTCCTGCGCGCTTGGTTCCTGTGTGGCTTCGGTAAGCTGGTCTGCTGGAGCCTGTCGGCCTCCAGGGCCACCGGGACATATAGCTGGAGAAGTGCTCGGCTCCAGCACTCAGGCTGGAGCTGAACCTCCGCGGGGAGCGCGGACTGGTGAGGGTGGCCCCGTAGGGCGGAGCCGAGGACGTAGCGGTGCCGTGGACGCTGGTGTGTGGCCCGCGGTGTACGGCCCTGTTCCGCACGCACTCAGCATAGCTTTCCCCGCCGTAACTCAGATCGGCCGCAGGCTTGGCCTTCCTCCGATGTCCGGGCTTTCCTTCGGGCCCCAGCTCTTGCTTCCCAGTCGCAGCTTGCAGTTGTCTGCTGCCGGAGGCACGGAGAACTTTTCTCCCTTAGGTTGCCGTTGTCATGATATTGTAGTACTGAGAAACTCGCACAAGTGACAAAGCATTTCACAGCTTGCCTAAGCTCCTTCCCTCAGTGGGGAAATGGTATCTACGTATTGGTCTACCTCAAGGGATTGCCAGAGCATGAATGTGTAATGTGTACACATGCTGGAAACAAAGCAACCCCAAACACACTGCTAGCCACAGTACTTCAGCAGATTTCTTTTTACTGATTTTTACCTGCCTCACCCCTCCTAAACTAAGGCTTTATGAAGGCAGACACTGCTGAGCCTCCTCTCAAGGCTACAGCACCGTTCTCATGCTGGGGCAAAGAATAGTAGTGGAACTGGATGTTATTAATAAATAGCAAGTGAGGACATTAAGAGTGTCTGATGAGGAAAGGCATGGAGTTTGTCGCTACTCTGTATATGCCTTGTTAGTAAAGTTTTTGAGTTCCTATAGCAAACACTATTAAGAAACTGAATATGTGGTGGAGGGGCACACCTTTAATCAACCAGCACTAGAGAGGCAGAGGCAGGTGGATGTGTAAGTTCAAGGACAGCCTGGTCTACAGATTGAGTTCCAGGACAACCAGGGTTACATAGAGAAACCCTGTCTTGAAAAAAACAAAACAATCAAACTTTAAAAAGTTATTCCAGACAGAAGGACAGAAGTCAGCGCTTAGCATGTGTGGGGCCCTTGGTTCAACCTCAGCATCATAACAAACACAGGTTAAGTTCACTATAAATTTTAATCTGATATAAAATGTTAAAGACAAACATACTGAAATAAATTGTGATGACTCACAATTTTAAACACTTCCACGGAGCAAAGGGGATTCCCACTGACCTGATTTGCAGCGGTTTTCTGAGAACAGCCCTGCAAGGAGCTGAACAACCACATGGACAGGTAAAGATAATTGTCACAGACGTGCTACTTATTCACTCAGAGACCACTACACTCCCTCATGGAGCCAGTCTTACTAATTAGCCAGTTCCTGAGTGTAACGTAAACTGTGATACTGTGTGGTTTTCAGGAAGAGGTTTCTTCCAGAATGACCAGAGGCAAATGGACATGGCAGGTGTGTCCCATTTAACTCTCTCTAGCTATGCCACAGGCTCTACAAAACCAGCATTAAAAAAATAAAGTTTTTCTTGAGACAACATCCAATCAGTAGCACTGATACAAAAAAAAAAAAATGCAAATTCATTGGCTTCTGGCATTGTTGTAAGAACAGTGACTAAAACTATAAGCCTAGGACACTTCTCTCCTTTTATAGGGCATTGCCATGTGAAGGTTCCATTTCCTCCAGTAGGAGGACTTCCAAACTCTTCAAATGTCTTTGAAACAACGTCTCACGTCAGGGCTGGTTTCAAACTCTATGTAACGGTTTGGCTTCCCAAGTGCCAGGGTCAGGGGTGTGAGCATCATTCTCTTCCCCCCACCCCTTAGTTTTTGAAACCAGAACATTTATTTCATGACTGATTGTTGGAATCTTCAAGATGAACTGGATGCTCCAACAACTCCATTCTTGGGTTTATGTTGTTCCTTCACAGAATCCATGTCTAAATCTACAAGAAACAATTTTTAGGTGCCTCCTATCCCCAGCCACAGCAGTGTGCATTTCTTAGCCTAGGCACACAGTTACACTTTCTCTTGTGCTTGACAGGGTAGCCACACTTATCAGTGCAGGTGGACGTCTGGAGGTAGGCCTCAGAGCCACAGCGGCAGGACGACAGTGTGTCTTACTGCGACACTTTGCAAAGGACGGTGCTCCTTTCATCACCTTGCTTCTGCTACTATGGCCAAAGAGCCACCATACTCAAGGCTGAGAATTAAATTATTCAGAATCATCCTCATTAATAAAAATTTAAAATACAAAACTACAATATATGTGAACATTAAGTATTTTAAACAGGTTTCTTTTTTCAAAATACATGCTTCAGACAAATGTAAAATTCATTTTCATTCACCTTTGTTGATAATAACTGGTCATTCATACCTTGCTTCTCAAAAGAAGTCATAAAACAAGGAAGTGAATAAAAAAATAGCTCTCCAGTTTACAGACTAGGACTTCTTCCTTTGGCAAAATGTATCAGGCTCTCAGGTGCCCAAGTGCTGAAAAACACTGCACATTCTGACAGCTGCAGACTGTAGTGTTCCAAAACTCTGACACCTGAAGAAACATCAACAGACAAGGTGGACTTTCCCTCAGCGGCCCCAGGTAGGTGCCCTAGTGATTAGCAACCTGGCTAAAAGCAGCGAGGCGTTTAGTTTCTGGCTCCCTTTTAAAGTTGTTACCTGAGAACAACTTGACTCTGCAGCAGGCAGAGGAAGTGAGGTCTGTGCTGAGCTAACAGACAGTCGAAACCTGCAGTAACTCAGTGCATCAGACGTGGAAAGTTACAATCTTAAAACTGAAAGAAGGTCTGAGAGGACAGGTACATCTTAAAACAATATCACACATTCTTTGTGGAAACAGTATTTCAAGTAACTGAAGTGTGACTCAGGTTTCATACAGTCTCTAGGATCTGTTTTCTCTCTCAGACAACCCACCAGAAACTGCTGCTTCGGTTTTGTTTGTTTTTGGACAGGGTACTGCTGTGTACGTGATGAAGTTGGCACAGCCCTGCTTCAGCTTCCCAACAGCTGGGCTGCAGTCTGCGTCAGTGCCCACTCCAGAAACTGCTCTGCTTCCTTATACTGACATGAAACTTTGCTTGTTCATGAGTCTCCTATAAAGCCCATTGGGCTTCGAAAGCAGCTCTCCATGTGTCCCGTGTTCACTGATTCTTCCTTGGTCAAGGACAGCAACAAAATTGGCATTCTTGATGGTGGACAGGCGGTGGGCTATGATCAACACTGTTCGACCTTCCATCAGCCGGTCAAGTGCCTCCTGTACCAGGTGCTCATTTTCAGCATCCAGTGCACTGTAGCAGACAAGGTCACACACAGGAGGAAGCAGAGATGTCAGAGCTACGCACATCACTGAGACACCTGCCAGCACAGAGGCACTAACATGATCACACATGTCAGAGAGATACACTCACCTGGTTGCTTCATCAAGAAGAAGAATTTTGGGGTTCTGAAAAAGAAAAGTGATTTATTAGCAAATGCAGCTCTGGACAGTAAGAAGGAATGGTGAGATGGCTCAGCAGGTAAAGGCACTTACCACCAAGCCTGAAAATCTGAACTTGATTCCCAGATCTGACACCATTAGAAGGACAAATGACCCCCACAGATTGTTCACTGATCTTTGTGTACCCCTGACCCAAGGTAAATAAGATGTAAAAAGTCATTCAGAGCTAACTATTACAGTTTTAAAAGACAGAAGGAACAGATGGAGAAAGAGATGGCTTGGTGGTTAAGAACTGCTGCTCTTCAAAAACCCACAGGGCAGCTTCTGTAACTCCGGTCCCAGAGAAGCTGATGCCCTCTTCTGGCTTCCTTGGGCACCCAGCACAGGTGTGGTGCACAGACATACATGTAGGCAAAACATGTATACACATTAGGGAAAAACAAAAACAAAAACAAAGGTGGAAGGAATAGAGTTCTGTCCTGGGATGTGCTGTTGCTGCCTCTGGCAGTCAGACAGGAAGCGCTCAGGTAGGCACCAGGACAAAAGGCAGAGAGTGGCCTAGAGCTGATGAAGAGGATGAGAGGAAGAGGAGAGCTGCGAAGGGATGGCCTGTCACCATCCCATGAAGGAGGAGCCTGTCTCCAGTACCCCAAGGCCACAGAACTGTATGTGGATGGGAAGTTACTGACTCTTCATCCTCCTCCTCATCTTAATAAAGAGAGGCCACTCCTGCCATCTTCACGAGTGTGTGATGGAGGTGACGGCTCCAGCTGAAGCCGCGGCCACTGGAGTCACTAGATGCGATGGGACTTAAAGCGTTGTTGTCTGCATGTCAGTGTGGAGACAGAACCTGAGACGAGCGAGTGCGGTCTCCAGCTCTCCAAGTCCTCTTAACAGCTCAGTTAAAAATAGTGAAGTAATGCATAACACAGAAGAAGTAAAATTAAACCATCATAGACACTAAATTTGATTTTTTTTTTCCCTGAAGAATCTACCTGTAGGAAATAAAAGGTACCCGCCCCTAAATCAACCAAGACACAGACAGCATTAGTTCAGCATGAGGAAAAGGAGGCTCTCAACAGCACACACAAGTTCAGACATCACTGAGAGCAATGAGCAGATGTGGAGATGTATATTGACTGTCCAGAAAGGCAAAACTATACCAAGTGCCCCATGGCGTCCTAAGCAGGGCGGAGAGTTAAGGCTATGTAGGCAAATGTGAACATTCTAAAAGCTAAAGTACACTGAAGCAGGTATCCTACAGAACACGCCGCTTCCTCAGAGGCAGTTTCTAACTAAGGTTCTTGCTGCTCCTGGCTGGAGCCTGTCTGCCTGAGGTGTCTGATCTTCCCCTCAGCAGAACTGAGGAAAGGTTGGACGACTGCATACTGGCACCACTCTGACATTTTGCTAATAACCAGTCAGCTGAGTCTTCTAAGTACAAGGTCCATATGCGAAGTTTTTCCCTACTCTTGACACCCCTTTAACACTGGGCTCTTGAGAATTTCTCAAATATGGTAAATATTTGGACTATATAAGCTCTTGATAGAATTGCCAACTTTCCTTTTTACTGGACCAGCAGCCATATATAATACATTATCCATACATTCATATATACATACACACATGCATGCATCCGTGCATACGTACACACATTCATACAAACATACATTCATATACACACATATGCCCTCCTCAAAAAAATAAAAGTGGGAACTGTCAGCTCGCTCACCTTTAGCAGAGCTCTGGCTATTGCGATCCTCTGTTTCTGCCCACCTGAGAGAAACAAACAGAAAAGGCAAGCTTAACAAAAAGTCTTAGGAAATTTTCTAGTAAGACAAGCGACAATTTGAAGGAAACGTCTTTTATTTCTTTTTTTTTTTTTTAAACAGTAGAAATTTGTTTTGGGGGATTTGTGTGTGTATTTGTTTTGTTTTGTTTTTGGCTTTTCAAGATAGGGTTTCTCTGGGTAGCCCTGGCTGTTCTGAACTAGCTCTGTAGACCAGGCTGGCCTCAAACTCACAGAGATCCACCTGCATCTGTCTCCCCAGTACTGGGATTAAAGGAACGTGCCACTACACTTGGCAAAAATAACAGAAACAGCTTGTTGTTTTTAAACATACTGTTGAGAATGGAGAGATGGCTCAGCAGTGGAGCACTGGCTGCTATTCCAGAGGTCCTGAGTTCAATTCCCAGCACTCACATAGTGACTCATAACCATTTATGATGCGATCTGGTGCCCTCCCTGGCCTGCAGGAACCCATGCAGGCAGAATACTGTATAAGAAATAAATCTTTAAAAAAGTAAACACACTTAGTAAATTGCAAAATAAACAATTATTAATGCACAGCTAAAACATACTGAGGATTTCCTAACACGGGACATTTGCTAAGTGCAGCAGGCTTGTTAGTCTATAACAATCATTGAAGCAGACCCTATAACTGCTTTCGTCTTCACAGATTAAAAGTTGATGCCAGAGGTGGTGGTATATGGCTCTAATCCCAGCACTCTGGAGGCAGAGACAAGTGGATCTCTTATGAGTTCGAGGCCAGCCTGTGAGTTCCAAGACAACCAGAGCTACAGAGAAACACTGTCTTAAAAAAACCAAACCAAACAAACAAACAAAAAAAACAAACCCAAACCAACCAACCAACTAACCAAACAACAACAAATTAAAACAAACAGCACCCCTCCCCCGCCCGAAAAACAAAAAACAAAAAACAGGCACAACTAGGCACACACCTCTAGTCCCAGCACTCAGGAGGTAGGCAGGTGGACCTCTGCAAGGTGAAGGTAGCCTAGGCAGCACAGTGAGACCCTGTCTCAAAAATGAAACAACTAAACACAAAAAACCTGGGGCACAGCGTGAAATGTCTCACAGCTGGCAATGGGAAGAGCCTCGCATCCAGCCTTCACTCACGAATTCCCCACAACACATTGAGGGAACCTGAAACTCCCGGGGAGCAAAAAGAAGTAGTGACCCTCGGGGCACATGTCCTGCTCCACATCGGCACACAGCCTTCAGGCCTTCCCTTCCTGTGGCGTTCTGTCTCCTTGCCCCTAATTAAATTCCTTCTTTTTATAAAAGTTGCCTTGGTCATGGTGTCTCTTCACAGCACTAGAACAGTGACTACAACAGCTTTCTCCACAGGGTTTCTTTGGGATAATCTCCTTTTCCTTGGGCAGGTTCTTATCATCTGCCTCCCTGTCAAATCTTTTTTTTAATTAAATTTTTATTTTTTATATTAATTACAGTTTATTAACTTTGTAACCCAGCTGTAGCCCCCTCCATCAAATCTTTTAGTTCCCTATAGCTTCAGGGTGCCAAGCACATATTTCCTCAGACAGAAGCGAAGGCTTGCTGTCATTATGCAGTACTCAGCAGCAGTCCTGAGGAGGGTTCTGGGGAGGAAGTGAAGGGAACACACCCTTTCAGAAAAGATGAGGTAAATTCCCTAAGCCACAAAGAGAAAAACTTCATCAATAAATGACAGAGCACTGGGAACCACTTGGGAACTTCTGGGGGCGAGTGCTGCTGTCACACTGACAGGAGTGGGCCAATGAGAGAAACGTTTGTGCCACATACCAGACAGAAGGATGCCCTTCTCCCCAACCACAGTGTTGAAGCCCTGGGGGAAGCTCCGGATGAACTCAGCCGCATTGGCCACTTCTGCTGCCCTCTCCACCTGCTGGGCTGTGACCGAGGACAGGCCAGCCGCACCATAGGCGATGTTCTCTGCGATAGAGCAGGAAAACAGGATGGGCTCCTGCAATTGGAAATGCAGCACATGTGTCAGAAACTTCAGCCAACGCCCGGCAGGCACCATGGGCACCATGGAGCTGAAGACAGGCCTCAGGCGAGGGCTGCATACACTTCCCAGAACAGGACTGACTGGAGGTGCTGGCTTATGACCTCCCCGGCTGATTTTAGAAGTTCCAGTTTAGGGGCCAGCAAACGACTCAGGAGGTGTTTGCTTGTCAAGCCTGACAACCTGAGTTCAATGAGTTCAAGCCCCAGCACCTACAGCGCAAGGAGAGAAGCAACTGCCCTAAGTGGCCACCTGGCCTCCACATGCACACCATGCCCCCATAAATAATGCCATTGAAGAAGTGGTCCCAGTGTACCACCACCAAGACAGCCTCATCTGTTGTCTTCGCTGCACTGTGGGAAGGAGATGGCAAGATGGGGGCCCATAATCGCCAGCCCATGACAACCTTGTAAATCTCAGCTCCTCCCCTAGGGCTGGCAAAGCCTGGAAGACTCGAGTCTGCCTGCCTGCCTTCCATGTTGGTATAATATTCTTTTGGAATGTATACAGTTTACTCTTGTTCATTCAAATGCTGATTTCCCTACCCCACTATCTGGTTTTAATCCAGACACTGCATTGTGATGCTTATTCTAAGCATCACCTGTCGCAAGCTTGTGTAAACATGCCATCATTTGTTCTCTATATTGTCAATTAAAACAACCAGCCACAATGCTGAGCAATGGAGAGGATAGGGTGAAACATCCTGGTCCAGTGAAGGAAGAAGGACGAAGCAGGAGGAGAATCTGCAGGAGAGGTCTTGGAACCACGTGGAGAAATGAACCGGACCTAAGACATGACTAAAAGCAAGTATAATGGGTGAAATCTGAATGGTAGGAAACTATGCGGGCTTGGAGGTTTAAGATGGGTAACTGTTGCCCAGCATTGTGCTCTAGGTTAATTAGATAAATCCTAGTCTCTGTGTGGTGATTTGGGTATACAGCTGTTTAGGAATAGCCGATGCTTAACTAAAAGATAAATCAATAATAAATATTAATAACCATCAACACTTCCACCACAAACAAAGGCCCACATCCACTCATTGCACTCTGACACACAGCCAGACCCCGCAGCATCCTGCCAGAGCCCCGAGAAGCACACCAGTGTCTAGTCTCCTCTGCCCTCATGACACACACTGCAGAGGTCTGGTCAGGACCATGACCACACCATCCATCCAGCTACAGCAGGAGGAGTCCCCATCAGAGTGCAGAGGCAGGGGCAGGAGAGCGACCACAGGTGCACAACGGTAAGAGAAAGCATGCAGTGATACAGTTCTGTGGCACCATGCAAAGGAGCCACACTTGGGCCCCATGGCCATGGACCACGGGAACTGGGAACAAGACTAAGAGCTTCTGTGACTCCTTCCTCCAGACCCTCCACGCTGCAAAGAAACAGCAGTCTCAGACCTCAGAGAAAAGCCAGCGCATCCACTGGTGACGTGTTTTGAGTAGGGGTGGGTGGGTATGATCCATCTGGGAGAACCTGCCCATCCCCTATCTTCTTACCTGACTTACTGTCCCAATCTTGGATCTCAGCCAGATGGGGTTTAGCTGTCGGATATCATGGCCATCAAGGCTGACTGTTCCTGTTGGGAGAGGGCAGAGGTCACTGCAGGTCAAGGCTGATAACCAAGGTGAACTCTAAAAAGACCCACTGGGAGAATTCCAGATCCATTATCTGGAATTATCTCTTTCTGAGACAGGATATCATGTCGTCTATCATAGCCCAGGACAACCTTGCATGTGTGATCCTCCTTCCTCTACCTACCTGGGATTACCGGAGTGTGGCGCTATTTGACCCCTCCTAATGCCGTACCAGAAATCAAATCCAGATTTTTATGCACGCTGAACAGGCAGTAACCAGTTGATCCACACCCCCAACTCCCAGGCAGTTTTTAAAGACTAATTATACAGTGAGGGCTCGGAGTGCGGCTGGTGGTGAAGTACTCACCTAGCACACACGAGGGGCTGGGTTCCGCCCCAACCACTAAAACTCCAACTTCCCTAGTGTCCACATGGAACCTAAAAACAACTGGGCTGGGACTTTCAGAGCAAGAGGAGGTCTTCTGGAAGGCCTGAGGCCAGGCCTCCCCTAGTGCAGGGCAAGCTCAACCAGCCCACCTTTCCAAGTCTGGAGGTGTGGCAGCTGCGCTCCCTGGCAATGATGCTGTTCCGTGAACCTGATGCCTTACGCTGAGCCTTGATTCCGGAGGACTGTGTCGGACAGGAGCACACAGCATGCACTGCCTAGCGGTTCTGATGGAGGCCTCCTGACTCTAAAGTCTCCTGACCATGCCAGTGTCAGAAGACACATGAAGGCCTGGCCCAGGGCTGAAGGTCTACGAGGGTTCTGCAGGTTTAAACTGGCGCCTCTTTGGTGGCCCCATCCAATATTGTAGAACAGGACACATGCACATATATCCCAAGAATAAATGAGACAGCCTCACACTTGTTCTCTAAATCCAAAACTTAAAAATCATGTACTGATCATCTGCTCTAGGCAGGAAATGGGACAAAGATATAAAATAACATACTTTTGCTCTTAAAGAGGAGTATAATCCAAGTGAAAACATAGCCAGGCATGGTGGTGCACGCCTTTGATCCCAACCCTTGGGGAGAGAGATCCAGGCAGATCCCTATGAGTTACAAGCTAGCCAGGGCTATATAATAAGACCCTGTGTCAAAAGAAGAGGAAAGAGGAGGAGGAAGAAAAAAAAGAAAGGAAGGGGAAGAGGAAGAAAGAGAAAGAGGAAGAAAGGAGGAAGAAGAGCAGGAGAAGGAGGAAGAAGATGATGATCTGGGCTGGTGAGATTGCTCGTGAAGGAAAGGGACTGTCTAGATGTTAGGACCTGAATTCAGTCAAGTGCACAATAGATTAAAATCAAATGACAGATGCATGCCTGTAATGCCAGCTACTCAGAAAGCTGAGGCAGAAGGGCACAAGTTCAAAGTCAGCCCGCAAAATTTACTGGGAACATGTTTCAAAAGCAAAGGTAGGAAGAGGTTCGGGGGAAAGCCCTGCCAGCTCAGAACAACGCTGGCAGCCTCAGCACGCAGGAGTGGAGCCAGTCACCAGTTACTCTGTCTACAACAACCAAGGAAGCGGACATGCTAGTCCATGCTTGAAATCCCACCACTCAGGAGGCAGACGCAGGAGGATTGCCACAAGTTTGCGGTGAACTCATCGAAATGGTGAGTTCTAGGCCAACCAGAGCTCCAAAGAAGACCCTGTCTCAAAGAACCTAACCAAGCAACAGCCGAGGAACAGCCTGGAGGCAGAAGGCCTCGTGCAATCCTCACAGTGGCTACCTCTGCACATGGCAGAGCAGCGTGCCAGTGTGGGCTCGTGACACTCCACAGCACCCTCGGCCGCTGACCTGAAGGCATTCACCGGGGACTGCTGGACAGTCTGCTGGCCCTCTCCCACAGCAGGGACATGGCGGGTGTCGTGAGCGTGGGAGCCAGAGCTCTGCACTGAAAGGGCGGTCACTCCTGGGCACGGGTGGGGGCAGGTAACAGGGATGACTGTCACAGGTCACCTACCAGAGTCTGGGTCATACAAGCGCAGCAGCAGTGAGATCACGGTGGACTTTCCAGAACCACTGGGGCCCACCAGTGCCGTGACAGATCCAGAAGGGATGGAAAGACTGAAATCCCGGAACACGGACACCTCTGGGCGAGCAGGGTACGCAAAGTGCACATTTCTGAACTCCAGGGCACCCTGGAAGCTCTTCTCATCCAACACAGTCCCCTCTGAAACACAAGAGGGATTACAGAAAGCTAAAGCAATCGTGAGCTCCTGGCACGGCGTGGCTCCCTTGGCTGTGTGACATGGACACGGTCCTGTCCCAGAACGCTCCATCCTGGAGGGTGCTATGAGGAGCGGGCCCAGCTGCCAGCCTCTGGCATAGGATAATGACCTTACAAACTCGAGGGGTCGCCTCTTCTTAGGAGGACTTCCCAGGCATGCACAGTTGTGGAGTGTGAAGCTCCAGCCCTGGGAGTCCGGTTTCAACTCAGTAAGTCTCCTCAGGGCCGCTGCACACAGGCAGCTTCTGTGCAGAGGTCTTCATCCACCAAGTAAACATTCCGAGCGCAGTAATGGGGACACACGGCAGCCATGAGGATAAGGACTGTCAAAGGTTTACCTGGCCCCGGTGTGACCTCGGCTGGATACGGAATACACACCCGCCTAACCACTGCATTTCATGCCGTAGCTTTCATTCTGAGCAGCACCAAGCTCACTGCACGGCAAGCACCCGGCAACATGCAGCATCCCCGAGTGCTAAGTGTTGCTACTCACGGCCACCCTCCTCCCGTATCTCCTGCAGCTGCTCTAGGCCCGTGGCCTAAGGGAAACTGATGACAGAGAAGGAGATGGTCCTTGCCACCAAATACCAGCAAGAATGCCAAGAACTGGACAGCCTTTCAGCCACCCCTCCCCCAACCTCTTACAAATGTCAGACTCACTGAGGAAGATTCTAGAAGGCCATCTGGATGTGCTATTCACACTAGGCCTGCTCACTGCTCTCTGGCCCTGGTGGTAATGACTGGCTGCAGGTCATGAGCAGCACGCCATGTCATCAACCCCACATTTCCAGAACATACCCTGAACTGTCCCCACTACTGTCCCTGGGATCCTGACCTGCTCCCTGCCTGTGGCAGGAGCCACCTCCTGGCAGTCTCTGAGGAGGGTGGAATGCTGTTCTAACCCACAGCTAGCCTTATTAAACCCAGCAAGGCACAGCCCCACCTCAGACCCACCATTAAATGGCAGCCGTGGCTGTCTCTCCAACAGCTCCCAGAGCCGCCCACCGGCACCCAGGCCTTTCATCAGCTCGGAGTAGAATGAACTCAGACCTGAGGAAAAGAGAAGTCTACCATCAGCTGACAGGAAGGGCCACAGTCCCCCTCTCCTGCAGCCATCAGTGAAAGCTGCTACTCTGGCTAGAGCAACCGCTCCTCCCAGCCACCCTTCCCCTGGCTGCAGCTTCTCTTTTTCAGTGCTCACAGATTGCTCTCGGGGAAAAGGAAACTTGGAAGCAAGTGACCGAGCTGCTCACCAGTGCCAAGTCACATTACCGCAAGGAAACCTCCTCCTCAGACAGCACAGCAAGTGCAGCAAGGGCTACCCCAGGTGAACCGGAATTCTACAAGAGTCTACAAGGACTATTGGGCCAAGGAGACAGGAAAACCTTAAATGTGCATTAATAAGTGAAAGAAGCCAACCAGAAAAGGCTGCATGTTTGTGTGTGTGTGTGTTCTGTTTGTTTTTTTTGAGTTTCACTATGTAGCCTTGGCTGTCCTGGAACTCACTTTGTAGATCAGGCTGGCCTCAAACTTGTAGAGATCCACCTGCCTCTGCCTCCCGGGCGCTGGAAACAAAGGTGTGCACCGCCACTGCCTGGCAAGGCTGCATGCTTTATTGATTCCATGACACTTGAAAACTTCAAAACTGTGTGGATAGTAATAGAGGTCTGTGGATGCCAGGAGTGGGAGACAGAACAGGTAGAGGTGGAACCACCCAGGGCAACAACTGTTGCAGATATCTGACCCCACTGTGACCCCCAAAACTGCGAATGTAAAACCCCATTTCTTGTTTGGTGTGGTTGAGCCCTATCACACATCTCTAATCCAAGAACTTTCTGTTTATTGTAAACAGGTGATTATGGTCTGTTCAGCTAGCCCTAGCACACACCTTTAATCCAAGAGCTCTCTGTACACAGCATTTAATAACGTTAAACCTAAGTCAAAAGGCAGAGCAAGAACCAGCTGACAGGGATCGAAGAATAAGAGGGACTTTGAGTTGAGAGGCATTTAAGACAGCGTGGAGGAGAGAGCTTCAGCTCAAGCTCTGGCTCTAGCTTAGGCTTCAGCTCCCTGGCTTTTTGGGGCTTTGAACTAGCAAGCCTCCAGCCTTGGGTTTTTTGGCCATTTCCTCCTAGGCTGTCAGCTGAGCTAGTGAACCTTTTGGGTTTTCTTCCATCTGGACCTGAGCTGAGAAGGAAGGTCAGCTGGGTGCTGTCTCTGCCTCTCTTAGCTTGTAGGACTTCACTCCAGCGTCCAGCTCCTGAGTCCTTATTGGTAAAATAGTTGGGATTTTCATCATTATTTATAACAACAAACAACAGCAATTCCTTTGTGATATTATAATGGTGAATTTAGGATACTATACATTTGTCCAATTCACACAATGTGTGGTCACCAAGAGCTAACCCTAACGTTAACTTTGGCTGTTAACAACGGTCAATGTCGGCCACGCAACTGTGTAGCACTTGGACCACATGGTGACCACCCTAACTGTCTGAAACTGCCCAGGGGCATTCACTGTAAATGCAACAGTGTTGCTTTTAAAGAATTCTAACGCCTCGAAATTCCAGGTCAGCCTCCAGGACAGCAAAGACTATGCAGAGAGCTTGTCTTAAATACAGACAGACAGACAGACAGACAGATGATGGATGGATGGATGGATGGATGGATGGATGGACGGACGGATGAGTCCAAAGCTGAGTGTGGTGACCCTCACCTCCAGTACTCAGGAGACTGAGACAGGAGGACAGATTTCAAAGCCAGCCTGTGCTACATAATAAAACTATCAAAAAAAAAACCTCACTAGATATTTTTATTTATCAAAAATGTATGTGTAGTACAAATACTACTCTCAGCTTTTCCCAGAGAAGCCTGCCCTTGTAGTGAACAGCAGTGAACAGAGAAGAGACTCAGCCATGATGCTAAACTCAGTGAGCGATCAGCTGAGAGCTCAGCCCTCAACAGAGAGGGCTTTTAGGTCACCTCCACTAAGGCTCAGGAACATTTGCCAAAGAGTGGTCAAAAGATGTCAGAGCAAGAAGACAGGAGTAAGGGCTGTCAAATGCTATCTTCTAGGCACCACAAGCCACTGCAGTCATGACTCACAGGAAATGTAGGTACAGACACTTGGCCTGCAGAAGACTGGCCCTGCAATGATGAGAGAGGGGTCTCCAGGGTCCTACCCCCAAGGCTGGGAAGGGGGGGGGGTCACTGCCCTCAGCTAGAGTTACCCACTACTACCCAGTCATACCAACAGTCCAGGGAAGCTCAGTGTGACACAAAACACAACAAAAAATCATGAGCTCGAGGAGGAGATTTGTGGAGAAGAGGACTGATGGGGCTGGAAGGGAGAGAAGAGAGGGTGAGGAAGAGCCAGAATGTATTAGGTACATGGTACGAAACTGTCAAAGAACAAGACAGACATGACAAAAACTTCTCATTACTTCTGAGGAGCGAGAAGAAAGAGGGGCCCTGAGGATAGACAGTTTAAGGCTCTGGGCAACAAAATGTGAGAGGTGAAAGTCTCACCATCGGGTTCGGGGTCTCCATCACTCCTGCCACCCATCCTGCTCTCCCCTGGGAAGAGGCTGTGACAGGAGGCTGGGAAACACAGCTCCCAATGGTCCTGCACCGTGAAAGGACACGAGGGCCCCAAATTCCCCAACAGGGAGCCTGCTCACCCATTCACCTAACCTCAGCCTTGCTTCAGGGAATGGCACAGTACGTGTGCCTGCTTGGTGGGGCCCGTTTGGCAATGTGAACCCTCAAAGCCTGTTGGCATGCTATACCTCCGATGCTCAGTCCAACCCAGAAAGCGTACATGAGGAAGGAAGAAAGCTCGCCCACGGTCATGGAGGCGCTGCCCATCAGCAGGCCTCCCTTGTACAGGACAGACAGCACAATCAGGTTTCCCGAGAGCCCTGTCTACAGGAGAAAGAAAACAGAGAGGTCAGTGGGACCAGAGGCCTCTCAGGACACAAAGGCATAAACTAGGCCTCTGGCTCCCTTTTAATACATAAGATTTCTCATGAAAAAACTTCGAAATATTTGGCACAGTGAAAAAAATACTTGCCTCCCCACAAAACCTTAGAGGCCATCATCGCCCCTAGGGCTGCTCCCCCAATCCACTCAGACTATTAAAGAACATGGTGACCCCGAGCCTCCCTAGTCTGCCCACGACCCTGAGGAGACGTCCTCCACATGGAGCTGCAGCCTTGCTGCCTGAGCTGCCCGAGCTCCGCTCCCGTGTGTGTGTGGGGGGGAGGGAGCCTGCAGGTCCCTGGTGAGACCTCTGCACTGCTGCTTTGAAATCCACTAAACAGCCTTCGAGGTTCTTCCCAGTCTAGACAGAAATATTTCAATTTTCTTTTTATTTGTTTTTGTTTGTTTGTTTGTTTGTCCATGTTTGACAGTCTCACTGTTTAGTCCTGGCTACCCCAGAACTCACTGCGTAGACCAGGCTTCTGGGTATGTTTGGCACACACAGTGGTTTTCTATCCAGGGCTTCTGGGTACTTTATGACCAGTTTCTTACACTTTCTTCTAGAAAGTATATATAAGCTCTAACAGGGCTAGCCCAGTGAGGCTAACCTGAAGGACCCAGAGGCCTGCGTGTACATTTGTTGTGGGCCAGCCCTAAGGTGCACAGAGCACAGCCACTCGGTGTCAGTGGCTCTCAGTGCTCCTGGCCACACACTGGGGACAAGCACCTGAGCTCACACACATGACTTGTCTCTGGTTCTACTTTCTTGTTTTTTTCTTCTTCCATAAAAACAGCTTGAAGTCCACGTCATTCTTAGGGCTGAAGTAACATCATCTCTACTATGTCAAGAGTCACAGAATGAAAATCTCTTGTGATTTCACTGTCCGAAATGATCTACTCACTGCTCCAAAGAAGCCAGCTCGAGCGAAGGCCTCCTTCCGTGCCAGCTGCAGCAACTGGTCCACGTGGCCACTGTACTTATTCACCTCCGTCACCTCCTTCCCAAAAGCTCGGATGGTTCTTATGTTTCCAATTCGCTCCTCAGCTAACTGTAAGGATTCGAACACAGGACATGGTGAGCGCTGGGAAGATGGCTTAGCAATTACAAACACTTGTTGCTCTGGCAGAGGATCTAGGTTTGGTTCCCAGCATCCACGTGGGCTCACAACCATCTGTAACTCCAGTTCTAGCGGATCCAATGCCTTCTTTCCCCCATAGGGACCAAGCCCACATGCAGGGCACAGACATACATGCAGGCAAAACACTCACACACAACAACACACACACACACAGAGCAAAGGGAGGAGTGTCCAATCGCAACTGACAGCAAAATGAAAATGTGGGTCTTATTCAGTGCTGCCAATGGACGGCTATGTGGGAAGCACAGCCAGGGACATCTCAGAGCAGCTTCGGGGACCCAATGCCCTCTTCCGGCCTCTGTGGGCAACTGCATATTTGTATACACCCCCTCATCCGTATACATGTAATGTAAAATCTCTTTTAGAAGAAGACACTGCCTCAGCCTGCTTTACTGGCTGAGTGAAGGACCCGGTGCCAGCTTTTCCCAAAGCACATCAGCTTTCAATTGATTTTCTTTTTGTCTTGTTAAAAATAATAATAATAATAATAAGGTTTAGGCTAAGTCTCAAATTCATGATTATCCTGCCTCAGGCTCCAAATGCTGGGCGTACAGGCGTACCCCACCACACCCGGTCATATTAGCTTTTTATCTTACCAGGAGCAGTGATAGAGAACAGTGAGAAACTGATACAAACCAGGTGTGGGGCTCACAACTGTAACACTAGAACTTGGGGGCTGAGGCCCATGCAGCGAGTTGCAGGCTGGCCGCACTCGGGGTGAGTGGCTGGCCAGGGGCGGAGCACTCCGCCGCTGCGCTTGGGTCGGCACTGGGAGAGAGGGAAGACATGTTTCTTCCCCTGGTTCCCAGCCGGCGCCGGGCAGGAACACAGCTTGCACATCGTGCACTCTGCCTGTGGCCCCGGCCTCACACCCAGGTAACACACACACGGGAGGTCAATACCTGTGTGGCTTGTGCCAGAGAGTCCTGTGTGGCTTTTGACAGTTTTCGTAGATATCGCCCGTAAATCACGGCGAGGACAGAGATCGGAGGCACCACGCCCAGAACAAAGGTGGCCAGACTGGGTGACACAAAAAACTGTGAAGAACAAAAGTCAAGAGCATCTGCTCCTTGAAGTGGCAAGGCACCCTGAGCCTACAGTGCGCAGCCGGAAAACATTGTCTCCAAGCCACGCCTCTTATCTGGGTTAGAATTTTCTGGCTCTTTGATCCTTACAAAAACCACCATCAAAGCCAGGCATGGTGGTGCACACCTTTAATCCCAGTACTCAGGAGGCAGAGGCAGGGGACCTCTGAGTTAGAGGTCAGCCTGGTCTACACAGTGAGTTCCAGGCCAAAAAGGCCTACACAGTGAGACCCTGCCTCAAAACCACAAAAACCGGGGGTTGGCAAACTACCATGGAGAACTGTGCCTTACTGCTGGAGAAAGGAAGTGTCCGGCATATCCTCTGGCCAGTTCTAGTATGTTCTAGTGTGTCAGACCATGTCAGGAGGTTCAGAGGGAGGGACAGTAGAGTGAGGCCTGCTGTGCTCAGCATTGGTGAGTTCTAAGTTCAGGAATGATCCCCCCCCCCCCCTTGGTCAGAGAAGTTACCAAAGCGCTGCAATTCCTAGGGAGCTGAAACAGGGTTCTGAAGGCAACTGCCACAGGATGGGGCGGGCAGCTGTTCAAGGCTCAGCAGCCTATAAGCCCATGGACCAGCTTGGATCAGTTTAACCACAACAGTGGCTCAAAGAACAAGAAGCTTCTTGAATTAGCAGCTAGACTCCCCCAGTTCTTGTAAGGTGCAAGGTGCTAGTGATTCTTCAAAACCTGCCAAACCTCAGCTGCACAGAAACTAACACAAAAGGCACGAAGTCTCCTAGGGGCATGGCAACCCTGAAGATTACAGTGTAAAAATAGGTGGACTGACTAATTGCTCATTCCTATTTTCATTTCTTCTACTATTGCTATTTCTTGCTCTCAAATCATAGTCTTGCTCAGGAACTGGCAAGACTTTTTAAATTCTGCCCTTTGCTTTGGCTTGGTTTTTGGTCTTTGTTTTTTAACAGGCTCATATAACCCAGGCTAGCTTCACACTAGCTTGTGTAGCCAAGAACGACCTTCAACTGCTGATTCTCCTGCCTCAGTGTACTGAGTTCTGGTGCTACAGGCATATGCCACCATGCCCGGTTTTATGCAGCACTGGAGACTGAAGCCAGGGCTCGGTGCATGATGGGAAAGCACTTTGCCAACTGAATTACAACCCTAGCACTCCTTCTGCCTTTTGACCTTATCCCGAGATCATTGAGATCACACTCACAAGTTCCTCAAGCCAGCAGGGCTGGCTGGAACACCAGTGCTACCTGGAGAGGGAGCTGAGATGAGCTGAGCCACCAGAGATAAGACATCTGTGGTGCACAGGCCACCTTGCAGGGGCCCAGAAGATGAGGTCTACACCCCGAATGTGACACGAGGTTTGCAAAGACGCACCTTGGCCTGACATTCTTGCTTAGAAACTGCCAGGAAAAGCCCTTCTCCAGATAATGCGAACAGGCCAGGCCAGGCCAGGCCAGGAGATGGGCCCTCTGCCTCTACAGTCCGGGGCAAGTTCTTGGTTTTACATGCTTACAAAATAACATCTAAAGCCCCTCATGCTCAACTGCGCCTGAGAGCCCGGACAGAAAGCACCAAGTGGAAGAGGCTGACATACCATCATGCCAACGCCAACTGAGGCCTGGGCCCCAGCCCTCAGTCCGTCAGAGAGGTTCTCTGTCACCGAGCGCCCCAGGAGTGCAGTGTCCGAGGAGAGGCGGTTAATCAGCTCGCCTGTGCGGGTCTTGTCAAAGAAAGCGACCTCTTGCCTTAGAAGAGAGGAGAAGAGTGAGGTGCGCAGCCGGTTCACAATGTTCTGACCTATGAAGGAAACACAACAGCGGTGAAAGCAGCCACCTGACACGCGTTAGCAGTTCATTTAGCCTGTTGTCAAAGCCGGTTTGTAGACTGACATGTCAACTCCGTGGAAACTGGCATGGGATGGACTCCCACAGGCCCTGGCACGTATCGGCAGCCATGGGCAGAAGGAGACGGTGATAAAGGTGACAATGGCCGGCAAGATGATTCAGCAGGTAAAGGTCCTCATGTGCAAACCTGATGACCTAAGTCATCAGGTGGAACCTGGACCCCACGCTTTCCTCTGAGCCCCCCACATGTGCACGCATGCCTGCATGTGTGAGTGAACACAGCACAAGAGTAAGTAATATTCCTCTTACATTTCTTAAAGGTAACGTGGTCCTTGACATGTGAGAAGCATCATATGCCTGGAGCGCCAATCTGCTCATGACCAGCAGCTCTTACACAAACACACTTTGCAATGGCAGGAAAGGGTTAATCACCCCGAGACCATCTTCCTAGCCAGGCAGACAGGGGATGCAGTCCTGAGCCACCAGTGCCAGAGTGGTTCCCTGCCTGTTGAAGTTCCCACCCCAGTGGCTACACAATGGCACGAAGACACGGGTCTTGCTTCTGCCGCCTGCTCACGCCTGACCACAGCAAAGTATGGAGTGTACCGAATGACCATAATGGCTTCCTGGTGAGATCTGAATGCAGTACAGGCAGAGACGGGGCCTGGGGCAGGGACACGGGAGGCCCTGACACTACCCCAGGTGTTCTGTCCCGGTGAGACTGACCTGAAGACTGCATGAGGTAGACACGAACGGCATTCGCAGCAGCACCACAGAGGAACACACATGTGAGTCCAGCACAGAGGCGAGTCAGACTGTCGCCATAGTCCTGGCCTGGGTTGGTGTAGATGACGTCAATGATCTTCCCCAGGAAGAAAGGGGCAGACATGGTGATGACGCTGGACACAGCAAGAAAGCCAACAGCAGCTGGAAGACAGGAACGACACTTGGACTCACATGGCAGCACAGCGCAGCAACTGAGCACAAGGGGCGCAGACCCACACTGGCCTCCTTCCCTGCCATCAAGAGGCTGGACTACAGGAAGGACCGGATGGCTTCAGGCTAAGAACAAGAAGCATGGCTGTGAGGGAATGGTGTGCTCAGCTGACAAAAGGATGTTCAGGCTATGCGTTCCTTCCTTGCTGGGAGTCCCCGAAGCCAGCAATGACCCTCTGTCTGGCCTTCCTCCTGTGTTCTGGTCTTCATAGTCATTTTGGATCCTGCTCCTCCTGAATTTGTGCTACATGCTGTTACTCCTTGGCATCTCACTACACCTTAGTTTGATGCTCAGAACTATCCAGGGAAAGTTATCTTTAATGAAGAAGGGAAAACTTTTTTGAGGTAAGGTCTAACTCTGAAGCCCAGGATAGCTCACTACGTAGCTCAGGTTGGCCTTGAACCAGCTGTTGTTGAGACCAGCTCAGCTTCTTGAATGCTGGGATTATAGGTATGTGGCTTGATGCTCTTGACTATGCTCAGTACCTCAAAGCTCTCTACAGAAGCAATTATTGCTGTGGGGAATAAAGCAAGAAAAAACAGTAACCAGAGAAACAACTGTCCTGTAACTAAACAACAGATAAGGGGGACAGAGGCTTATTAAAAAGCCAGGCCAGGTACGGTGGCACATGCCTGTAATCCCAGCACTCTGGGAGGCAGAGGCAGGCAGATCTCAGTGAGTTCGAGGCCAGCCTGGTCTACAAAGCAAGTCCAGGACAGCCAGGGCTACACAGAAAAAGCTGTCTCAGGGGGAGAAAAAAAGTTCCGGCCGGGTGTGGTAATGAATGCCTGTACTGCTAGCACTTGAGAGACAAAGGCAGATCTCTGGTGTCAAAGCCAGCTTGTTCTACACAGCAAGTTTCAAGGTAGCCAGAACTACACAGCTGGCTAAAACAAACAAAAATCCACTTAGAAAGAATGCACATCAAAGACAACTACACTCATACTAAAGGGATCTAAAACCACAGGACAGCCATTTTTTCCTTGTGAGACTGACAAGGATTACGTGCTCACAATGAGGGTGAAGCTGTGGGAAGGAGGCTTTCACACCAGTGGGAACACACATTGCTCTGATCAAGGAGTGAGTTCATACCAGCAACAGGTAGGATCATACATGAACATTCCCTTTGATAGCAGTGGATTTCTGAGAATTTCATTTACATGCTTCCATATGATGTATGGGAAAAGAAATCCAAGGATGTGGAGTTACAGCTTACATCAGAAAAAAAAAATGTCTTTTTTTTCTTAATCTCCATTTTTCAAAAGGTTTATTTATTTATCATGGATAGTGTTCTTCCTGCATGTACACGTGTGCACCAGAAGAGGGCACCAGCTCTCATCTTAGAGGGTTGTGAGCCACCATGTGGTTGCTGAGAATTGAACCCCAGCCCAAAAACGCCTATCTTAAACATCCATCTAAGTAGGGCACGAGGCACCTACGATAGATAACTCAAATAGTGGGCCACCAGCGAAAGGAATGAGGTAACTCTCTGGTTACATGCCTGGAGCAAGTCAGCACCGTGGGAGCTGGGCCTGGCGACACTGCGGTGGCATCCAGGAGGAGGGGCAGGAGGATCACAAGTTCACAGATAACTCAGTTACAGAGAGAGTTCAGGACCAGGTGAGGAAACGAGGCTCTGTCTCAGTGAAGAGGGCTTTGGGTGTAGCTAAGGGGCGGGGCACTTGCCCAGCAGGTCTGAAGTCCCAGGGTCAGTCCCCAGTAGCTAAAGCAGAGAAAGACACACAGGCAAAGACAAACAAGGCCTAGACAACAATTAGCATCTGTGGGGTGTTTCCCTCTGTTTTCCTTGCTCGGACTTTATACAAGCACGGAACTTCTGAAGAGTAACAAGAAGCGCGCAGCCACTCCTCCTCCGAGTGGCGCTGTGGCTGCGCACGGGGCCGACCTGCCTCCTCTGGCTTCTCTGGTTTGGGACAAGCCTCTTAGGAGCCTTGCTGGCTTCTGGCAGGGCCACCTGTGAGTCCGGGAAGAGTCTCTGGCTCACACTTCAGCTAAAGAGATCAGTCTAGGCTTGAGAGAGTGTGGACCAGTGAGCAGAGCAAAGGAGTGAGCATGGGGGTGGGGCTTCTAAGCTGGCAATAGTCCTTGGTTTGGTTTTGTTTTCTAAGATTTATTTATTTTATATAATAAAATAAACATTACATTTATTGTATGTATATGAGTGCTCTATCTGCATATACACCTGCCCGCCAGAAGAGGGCACCAGATCCCAGTACAGATGGCTATGAGCCACCCCATGGTTGCTGGGCATTGAACTCAGGACCTCTGGAAGAGGAGACAGTGCTCTTAATCTATGAGCCATCTCTTCCTTCAGGCCTTGGCAGTAGTCCTTCTTATCCTCATTCCAACATCACCTCTTCGGAGGGCCAGCTCCGGAGCCTCGCTTACAATGAAGACACCTGACCCCGCCTCCTGTCCTTCCTGTCTCCTCCTTTCCCTGCCGCAATCCAAATGTGTCACTGGCTCACTGGCTGCTGTGACCTCAGCACCCTCACCTACATGGCAGAGCTCAGTCAAACAATACCTGCTGAGTGAATGAAGGAGCACCCTGGACTTTGGCAGGGGAGGCAGTAAAGTGCCTTACCAGGGCCGAGTCCTTGGCCAGCTCAACAGGGAAGGCCAGACCTGGCCACTCAGGGAGCTCACTTGCTGGCTGTCAGGACTCATAATCAAAAGTGAAAAAAAATAAATGAACCAGGGGCTGAAGAACTGACTCAGCAGTTAAGAGCGCTTGCTCTGGCCGAGGACCCAGGTTCAATTCCCAGCACACACATGGTGGTTCACAACCATCTATAACCCAGTTCCAGAGGATCCAATGCCCTTTTCTGACCTCTACAGGAACCAGGGACACATGTGGTGCACATACATATATGTGCATATGCATAAAAAACAAATATAAGTTAAAGAAGAATCAGGGAAAAATAGGGAAACCCCCCATAGTGACAAGCTGAGTGTGTTGACACACCTGTGCACCTGCAGTCCCACCCCAGCACTCAGGGGGGGTGCCGGGGGGGCACAGGGAGGAGTGTCAGGAGCTCCAGGTGGTCCTCCACTATCTATGGGGCTTGAGGCCATCCCGAGATACATGCCTTTGAACAAAACACCACAAACCATAATCTCAATCTAAGGGGATCACATAACCAGGACAAGCAACCTCCTTCTGAGGTACAGCAGCGTGCTCCCCAGGGACAGTGACAGGGCAGGGAGAATCCCACACAGCCCAGCCCCGTGGACGAGAGATGACGTCCTGACCGAAACCCTCCCCAAAGGCTCCCTCTAGCTCTTTCCTTTCCCCCCTTCCTTCTTTCTCTTCTTTTTCATTTTGAGGCTTGGTCTTGCTAGCCTAGAACTGATACACAGACCAGTTCGGACTTGAGCTTACAGTAAGCCTACTGCCCCTGCCTCTGAACCGCTGGCGTTATAGGTGTGAACTCCGAGGCCAGGCTTGCACAGCAGTGATGCCCACGCAAAGATGAGGGAGAAAGCTGAAGTGGTGAGCACACCTGGAATTCAAGCACTTGAGGGCCAAGTTCCAGGCCAGCCTGGTCCACCTAGACAGCTCCAGGCCCCAGGGTTACACAGCAAGACAGTGTCCAAAAAAATAAGGAGGTGGGTGGGGCTATTTAGCTAAGTCCAAATTCATCCCAGTAGAATCCATTTACTTTTTATTAATTTATTACTTAGAAACAATTTTAAGATTTACTTTACATGTATGCCATTTTGCCTGCATGCACGTACGTGTGCTATATGCACATTGGACCTCCAAGACTGGGGGTGAGGGAGGCTGTTATGCATGTTTGAGGTCCACACAGGGATACTAGGAATCAAGCCCAGGTCCTCTGCAGGGGCAGCCAGGGCTGAGCCATCTCTCCGGCCCTTATTTGTTTGTTGTAGTAATTAGAGTAAAAAAGGTCCCCATGGCCCAGAGGGAATGGCACTATTAGAAGGTGTGTCTTTGGATGAGGTATGGTTCTAGGGGATGGGATTTGGGTCTCAGAAGCTCAAGCCTGGCCAGCGTGTGACTGCCACTTCCTGCTGCCTTTGGATCCAGATGTAGAACTCTCAGCTGTCTCCAGCACCATGTCTGCCTGCACACTGCCATGCTTCCCACCATGATGATAATGGACTAAACCTCTGAACTGTAAACCAGCCCCAATTAAATGTTTGCTTTTATAAGAGTTTCAATAGCTGGGTGTGGTGGTGCACACCTGATACCTGTAATCCCAGCACTCAGGGAGGCAGAGGTAGGTGGCTCTCTGAGGTCAGCCTGCTCTACAAAGTGAGTCCAGGACAGCCAGGGCTACACAGAGGAACCCTATCCTGAAAAACCAAAACAAACAAATAAGAGTTGTGGTGGTCACTGTGTCTCTTCACATTAATAAAACCCTAAGACATTTATTTTATTGTTTTGTTTTGTTTTCAAGACAGGGTCTGTGTAGCCCTGGCTGTCCTGGAATTCACTCTATCCAAGCCTGAGATTTTCCTGCCTCTGCCTCCTGAGTGATGGGATTAAAGGCATTTGACATCACCACCCAGTCAACTCATTCATTTTTAACCCTGTGTCTACATGACAGGGGGAGTTTTGAGTGGCTGTGACCTGCGTGGCATGGGAGCTGAGAACTAAATTCCGGTCCTCTGGAGGGCAGCTCGCACTCTTAACCATGGAGTCTTCTCTCTAGTCCCAAATTTACTTATTTTTGAGACAGGGCCTCATGTAGCCTATGATAACCTCGGACTAACTACACAGCCCAGGGTGGTAATTCTGTCTCCTGCTCTAGAAGGCTGGGATTAGAGGTGTGTGCCAACACGCCAGGTTTTATGCAATGCTGGGATCAAACCTTTTGTGTGTGCTAGGCCAAGCACTCTGCCAACTGAGCACTTAGTACATCACAACCTCAGGTTTATTTTCCTATTGTGTGTCCCTCTGTATTATAGTCTGAATGTAAATGAAATGGATTTCCACCATCTGGATTCTTGGGATCAAGGTTCTGCCATTCGGGGCCATGGTATATCAGGTTCCACGCCAAATCCTGGACCTCACTTGGCACCTTCTCTCTACACCACAGGGCGGCTTCTCTCTCCTGGCAGCTGCCACTGCTGTTCCCTGATGGTTACTCTAGCGCACATGCCTATCAGCCTTATTCTACTGTGTGCCGCCAGTCAGACGGAGCACCAACAGGTCATGCAGAGGGCCTCAGGTCTACACCTTAGGGCCAGGAGGTCAGAGTCTGAGGAGGGTCAGGAAAGCTGGTTCTAAAGAGACGAACAGAACCAAAAACCAACCAAGCAATCAATCAACCCTGGCTCTGCCACCATGTCTGACCCAACACGTCAGTCCAATCTTCTGTGCCTCAAATCTGCCTCAACAACAGCATCTTCTCACAGAGCTGCCTTGAGTGGATCAGACACACAGAAAGCATCTGGTACAGGGCCCAGGAGGGTGAGAGCTGACTGATGTGCTGGGATCTGGGGAGACAGGGAGACATTTTCAGAGAAGACATGGATGCGCCAGGGAAGAGGGTGGAGGGTAGGTTGAGAGATGAGGTGAATTCCCCCGGAGCTGCAGGAAGGAGCTGAAGATAGGGGAAATAGAATAGAGCTGTGCAGGAACAGGGGTCAGGAAATACTCAGATCTCTGGAGTAGCTCCACAGCAGCGGCACAGGCTGCTCCTCTTGTGCCTTAGCCCTGCCCACTCTCTGCAGGGGGCTAGCTGCAGGCAGGCTCCAGTCTTTCCTCACCGTATTTAACTATGATCCCTCCACAGACATACCCACAATAATCAGCCACAAACTCTGCCACAGTTTCAGGCAGGCCTCAGCTTTTAAGAACAGTATCCAGCCCTTGTCAGTAAATCAGGAGAGTGGACCGAATCCTGAAGTCTGCACTGTCTGAAACATGAAGGGAAGGCAGTCGTAGAGTGACAGGCCAGCTGGGTGCTCACCCTGTGAGCCAGGAGATCCTAGGTATCTTCTCATCTTGGGGCCACTGCTCCCTGGGGGAGCTGAGCCCTGGCCTCCTATCTGCTAAGCACACAGGAAGCCTTCACAAGTGCCCCTGTCTGCTCTGTGCACATCCTGATGACCCTGGCCTCAGCACCTTCTGGTTCCTTGTGGCCAAAGTGATAACAGTAAGACTTATCAGTGCAAAAAGGCTCTGGGCAGTGCTGCAGACTTAGTGATACCAAGACAGCCAAAACCCTGAAGGAGTGGGCTGACAAGAGGAGCGATCATGCTACTTCGCTGGGCAAGCATCTGAAGTCATTGCTAATAGGAGGCCTGTGTCCCAAGTTTTGGATACATAACTTCAAAGTCTTCTGAAGAGGACAAACTTCTGAAGAGGAGGGAAGGAGAGCTTAATACCGGAACACAGCCCATAGTTTTGGGATGTTTACTTTCTCTAAAATTAGAAAACTAACATCAGGATCCAGGAGTGGTGGGGTAGCTGGATCTCTGAGTTCAAGACCAGCCTGGTCTACAAAGTGAGTTTCTAGACAGCCAGTGCTATACAGAGAAATTTCTCAAACAAACAAACAAACAAAAACAAGGACAAAACAGGACAGGGCTGGGATGGGCTAGGGAGAAGGAAAGAAGAGAAGGAAGGAAGAGAGAGAACTAACATTGGAATTTCCTCTCTCTCTCTCTTTCTCGTTTATCAAGACAGGGTTTCTCTGTGTAGCCTTGGCTGTCCTGGACTCACTTTGTAGACCAGGCTAGCCTTAAACCCACAGGGATCTGCCGGCCTCTGTCTGCCCTAGTGCTGGGATTAAAGCATTTGAGATTTTCTTCTCTTATTATCTGCTTTAGGGGACGCTAAAGAAATAATGACAGGCATAGCGGCTCCTGCTCATAACCTCAGCACTCAGGAGGCTGAGGTGTGAAGAATGTTGTGTGTTTGTAGTCGGCTTGGGCTACAAAACCCAGACAGACAGACACAACGGCTCTGCTCCGCCAGTATTTCAGGTATGTGCCAACTCTTAGCGTGATCCATTACAAACTAACGGTGCCCACCACTTCCTGTTACTTCCATCAGCACCAACATCCAGCCTGGCTTTGCCTATGACTTCTGAAGAAACTATAGGTTATATAAAGTGCTCTTCTTCAGACTTCCTGAAGACAGACTATATTTCTTACCTACATAGAAAACCTTAAGTATCCCCAGTACTTGGGAGGCTGAGGCAAGAGATCTCAAGTTAAAGGCCTGCCTGGACTGAGAGCAAGACCTTGGCTCAAAAACAAACCTACTACCAACTGCAGGAAGCCTACTTCTCAAGTCAGACATTTGACGTTTCAGTGAGGCAAACAGTTCTGACGATGCAAGCTGGTGCAATTTCTGATTTCTTTAACGAAGGCATCACAGTGTGTGGACATGGCAGGACACCTGGGGACAGGTTGCAGGTCATAGAGATGACACTCACGGGCAGTTAGGGAAGGGATAGCAAAGCCTGACTCCCCCAAACTTTGAGATATGAAGTTTCAGAAGCAGAATCCTCAGCCCCTCATGGACTGGACACACCCAGCTGCCCAGGTGTCTCCAGACTCCTCCATGCACACTCTGCTCTGTGCCCTCCTCCCGCCCACAAATGTCTTTTAAACCTGGTTTGGGAGGTTCACACTTGTAATCCCAACACTGGAGAGACAGACCAGAGGGTCAGGAGTTCAAGGTCATTCTCAGCTACATACATAGTGAGTTTGAGGCCAGCCTGGACTACATTAATCCTGTCTCAATAAAAGACAGGGGAGGAGGCTGAGCAGACTCAGTGGCCAAGAGCACTGGCTGCTCTTCCAAGGGACCCAGGGTTCGGGGGTTCAATTCCTACTATCCACATGGCAGCTCCCAGTCTGTAACTCCAGTTCCAGGGGATATGACACCCTCCCACAGACATACATGCAGGCAAACCATCAACACATATAAAAAAATAATTCATAAAACAAACAAACAAACCATGGGGTGGGGGAGCCTACAAGATAACCAAGAAGGAAAGGACCTGTTCCATTGACACTCACAGCAGCCACAGTAAAATGTGTCTCCTTACACCTAAGGACACCACAACCTCCTAATTCCCATAGCCGGCAGACCCCTTGCTTCATGGGCATCCTGCTCCAAGCGCAATCTCTCCCAAAGACAGTAATTTGTACAGGAAGGGCGTCAACAATTAACTTGCTGTTTAAAGAGTTCTATGACAAGGTCCTTCCTCTTACAAAACCCTCCCGCCTGTCTCCACTTCATTTCTAATTCAAACATTTCCCTGGGCACTAAGCAGGGAGCCTCTGAAGGAGCAGGACTGCACCTGCCAGCTTCCCAAGGTCATCCCCACGGGGGGCACAACCCATAGTCACAGAAGGGATGGAGAGGTAGGGCTCTCTCAAGATCTCAGTGGGTCTTGGCTCCAACCATTCGTCCAATGACCGCTGCAAGTGCGGAGTCACAGAATATCATCACTTAGACTCAGCCGATTCTGATTTCTTTATAAAAGTCATTCACTGATTCCGATGAGTTCCTGTCTAGTTTCTTTATGCTGTGGCCAATACCTGGTCCTCCAACAAGTGGTCACTTCTCACCACTTAGGGGCGTGACAACCAACATCAAGCTCACAGTGCTTAGCTTCAGCCTGGGAAATATTGCTGGTGCTTGATACTGTGTAGCCCTAGCGATGTTTCTAAAAACATTATAAGGTAGACATGGTTTTGGCAAAACTTTTTTTTTTTTCTTAAAGGAGGAAACTTCCAGCTTATTCTGAGACTGCCCCAAGGCAGATGCTGCCAACAAGCTGGTGGGGACCAAATTTAAATTCTGTGGTAACAGGCTAGTTGAGAAAAGGCTCCCATAGCCTTCCAACAGGTGTCGGCAGACTTGAACGCCCTTGTCCAGGCCGAGGCCAGGCCGGGGCCCACGGGCCGCCCACTAATCCCCAGGGTTCCTACCTGTCAACCTCCCGCGCTCGGGGCGCACCAGCCCGAGGAGCTTCCATAGTTCAGAGCGCCGGGTCGCCGCGGGCCGCCGCCGCGAGTCATCCCCAAGGTCTCGCACACCGGTGGCTGCTGCCGGGACTCCCTGGGGCCTGGCGAACAGGGGATGCGCGGCGCGGGGTCCTGCCAGCACCCGGCACGCGCGGGCCCCTGAGGACGCGGCCCACTGCCCCACGCCGCCAGGCAGCCCCGCCAGGGGCGCGGGGAAGCGGAGGCCCGGGGTCGGCTCGCGGATTAGAGACGTCCACGCGCGTCCCGGCGGCGTCCACTCAGGAGCCAGTCGTGTCCTGGAGGGGACGGCCGGGGCCCACGCACGCACCGCAGGGCCCCGGCTCGTGAGCAGCAGCAGCGCCCGGGCAGCGGGGGCGCGCATGGCGCTGCGTCTGCCCGGACAGCCTCACCCGCCGGCCGGGCCGCTCGCCCCGGGACCCTCCCGGCCCGGCCCGAGCGCAGGGCGGGGACGCGGCAGCGGCCCGCCCCTCCCGCCCCATCAGGCGGGCGCCCGGGCCGCGCCTTCCGCCGCGCAGGACCACCCCTGGGCGGCGACCAGCCCGCGGGCTCCCGGGCACTGCCTGCCCTGGCTGCTGCGGCGAGCGCCTGCGCCCGCGGGCCGCCCGAGCAAGCTTTTTCGCGCTCCCGCGCCCTCCGCGGCCTGTGAACCCGGGAGCGGCCGAGCTCTTTCTCTCGCCGGCGACCGGCGGAGTGCGCACGCGCGGCGCTCGGGTCGCTGAGACCACTGGGCGAAAGCTTTTAGTCCCAGCACAAGGAAAGCCGAGGCAGGCAGGCGTGTGTGAGTTCGAGGCCAGCTTGCTCTATATACCAAGTTCCAGGACAGCCTGAGCTACACAGTGAGCCCGTCCCCTTTTAAAAAGGGAGGATGAGTTCACAAAGCAACCTCAACATCAGTGTTTTTTTAGTTCAGTATTCCTAAAAGCCAACACGAATGGTGAAAAAAAAAACAAAAAAAAACAAAAAACAAAAACTTAAGAGACAAAACATCGGACTTTCAAACGCAGAATGCATCTCTGAATTTGCAGGATTCTTCCTCTTTTTACCCCAGACCCAACCCTAGAAAGGTCCCTTATTAAAATAAGGGATGGGAGCCTCATGCAGCTGAGCAGATAGAGCCCTCACTTCATGTGCGCCAGACCTGAGTTCAGACAGACACGGAAAAAACGAACACCAGGCACTTAGCAGCTGCCTGTAGTTTGTTTTGTTTTTTTCCTCTCTTAGAAAATTTTCCATATTTGGCCCAGACACGGGGCATGCTTTTAATCCCAGCACCCAGGAGGCAGAGGCAGGTGGAGCTCTTTGAGTTCCAGGCCAGCCTGGTCTACAGAGTGAGTTCCAGGATAGCCAGGGCTTCACGAAAAACCTGTCTCAAAACAAAACAAAACTAATAATATGGTAAAAATATAAATTTTTTTATGTCTGAATATCTGACATTTCAGGATCTTTTTATGTTTTCGCTCTCAGACAAGGGCCCCACCAACATTTGAAGTTATGCTATGGAGGGGGTTGAGCAACGAGAGTGAGGTTAAATCTGCCTTGAGTAAGTCAAGAGAGGTGGGAAGCAGGCATGTCCTTCCTTGATGTTTAGAGAGGTGGGAAGCAGGCATGTCCTTCTTTGATGTTTAGCCCTGAGGCCCAAGGAGACTTTCCTTTTCTTCAGTGTCCTCTGCATCACCAGCACAGGAATGCTAAATGCCAGGGTGTCACAGTGTGGACTCCTCAAGACCCAGCTTCCTTTCCGCACCCCACGGAAAACTTGCTTCTCCTTCCTCTTGGACCCCAGCTGACAGCATCAGGGAATGAAAATCACTGTTATTATTTTATGTGTGTGAGTATTTTGCATGTATGTATGTCTATGCACCAGGAAGGGTGTGGATCTCCTGGGACTGGAGTTACAGGTGGTGATGAGATAGTACTGGGAATTGAACTGGGATCTTCTGGAAGAGCAGCCCTCTCCCCAGTCTGAGGAGTAACCATTTTAAGCCAAATACAGAACGAAACTCTCTGAGGTTTTCTCTTTGTTTATTTTGGGGAAGGGGGTTGTTGAAACAGTTTTGATGCGGGCCTAGCTGGCTCAGAAGTCAGTGTAAAAACCAAGCAGGCCTTGAATTTCAAGTAATCCTCCAGCTTCTGTCTTCCAGGCTTAGGGATTACAGGTAATGCCACGCTGGAGACAGAAGCAGGAAGAGTACCAATTCAACGCCAATGTGGCTACACAGAGAATGTCATGCCACCTAACACATAAAAAGACCCCACCTCAAAAACAAACAGAAGACGAGGTGAAAGCTGATGAAGTGGCTCAGTAAAAAGGTCCATGCTGCTGTGACTTGGATTCCCCAGAACCCACGTGCTGGAAGAAGACTGACTGCAGCAGGCTGTTCTTTGACCTTGGTAGGTGTGCTAAGGCATACTCATGCATACACACACCAAAAGACACAGGAGGCAGGCACACACACACACAAAGGCACACAGGCACACAGGCACATAGGCGCGCACACACACACACACACAGAGAGAGAAACAAATAAATAAAAGGTGTAATAAACTATTGAGTGAATGAAAAACTGAAAATCAGGGAAATAACCTGAAAATAATTATCCCCTGAAAGACTTGAACATACACAGTGAGACCCTTTGAAAGGCAGGAAGGAAAGACATGGGTTAACCCAGAAATTAGGACAATTTTCTTGTTCTTGATAAAAGCACAAGGAATTATCTAAAGCGTGCTGTGCTGGCAAGGAAGCAGAGTGCTTAGAAGCGGGTCAGCAGTACAGAAACCCCTAGCACTCAGGAGGCAGCGGCTGGTGGGTTTCTGTGAGTTCACGGCCAGCTTGGTTTATAAAGCCCTTCCAGGCCAGACAGGGCTACACAGTGAGACCCTGACTTGACAAAAGCAGAACAGACAAAACAATACAGAGTCCCCAAGCAACACAGAGCAAGGCTTAGCAATGCTGAGATCAATGGGAGGTCAGATCGGAGGGGCCCTGGGGGAGCTGTGACCAGCCCACAGTTTTGGCCCTAAGTGAACAAAATCTTAATAGGCTTAGTGGTTGCCAGGAATCAAATTCTAAAGTGATCTCTAGAGGAAACTTGAGAACAGTTCCACCTGCTGGGGCTGGCTGCATTTGGATGACAATAGAGCAACCACATAGGGGACACCAGAGCAGAAGCAAAAATGCCCTGGCTTGCAGTCCAGGAGCCAGTGAGGGATCTTTGATCAGACTTGGAGCTTGAGAGGAGGGATGATACTTGGGAGATAAAAATCACGTAGTGTGTGGCCCGGCCACTGGCACAGTCGTGGGACTCTCGCTAGTACAAGTGTGCTAGGAATTGCTCAGCCGTTTCTGGTGACTGCGTGCTGCTTTCTGAGAAGGCTGTGGCTCAGAGCCTCGTCCCAGCAGAGCCTCAGGTGGCAGGACAGCACAGCTCAGTGCAGCACCGCCAGTTTTACAATCTCACCATTTCTCAGCAAAGCCCAAGGAAGGGTTGAAATCTGGTTCCTCCAAAAGCGGCTGCGTTGAAATGTTAACTCCCAGTCTGGAACCTCCTCTGGAAACTGGGAATTTCAGAGGCAGTGTAAGGTGAGATAATGAAGACTGAGTTCTCCCTCCCTGGAGAGCCAGAGCATGGGGGAGGGGTGCTCATTAGTCCCCAACCTGCCACATCCTCCCCTTGTGACAGCAGAGGTGGTTATGCAGCTGAAAGCCAATGGGGAAACCAACAGCAAGCATACCATGGAAAGCTGTGAGGAGGCAGGAGAGGAGGCAGGAAGGACCACCCCGTGACGCTGTAGGCCAGACTTCCAGCCTCCAGAATTCTGAGACAACCTTCTTCCTTACGACCCTTAAGTCCTGGTTCATCATTATGTCAGACCTAGCCAACTGGCTCAAAAAACAACATACACCTGTCAGCCCAACTGCTGGAGAGGAAAAGGCGGAAGGACTGCTTGAGCACATGAGTTTGAGACCAACTGGAGCCCTCCTGGAGACCTTGTCTAAACATACATGCGAAAAATGAGTTGGTCACAGTGGATCACACCTGTAATTCCCAGAACTTGGGAGGCTGAGGCAAGAGAACTGTCATGAATTTCAGCCCAGCCTGGGCTACAGAGTGGGAGCCTGTCTCAAAAATAAAAACCAGGCAAGATGTCACAGGCCTTTGATCCCAGCGCTCCTAGCACTCAGACACAACTCTGTAAGTTTAAGGACATCCAGAACTATGTGAGACTATGCCTCAAAATAGCAACAAAACAATAACAAATAAATAAGATGGCAAACTCAATTCTATAGGAATGCAAAATTTTTTTGGGAAGACCAAACCCAGGGCCTTTCGCTTGCTAGGCAAGCGCTCTACCACTAAGCTAAATCCCTACCCCTAGGAATGCAAAATTTAGGTGTAGTGTTTTCTTGTTTGTTTGTTTGTTTGTTTTTAAGAACATGTAGTTAGGGGCTGGAGAGATGGCTTAGCGGTTAAGAGTACCAGCTTCTCTTCCAGAGGACCAGAGTTTAATTCCCAGCAACCACATGGTAACTTAAAACTGTAACTCCAGTTCCAGAGGATCTGAAACCTTCACACAGACATACATGCAGGCAAAAACACCAGATGCACACGAAATGAAGAGTCTGGAGTTAGATTCATATAAAAAAAAAAATTATCAAACCTGGCATGATGGTGCATGCCTTAAATCCCATCCCAGCACTCCCAGAGGCAGAGGCAGGCAGATCTCTGTGAGTTTGAGGCCAGTATGCTCTACAAAGTGAGTCTAGGACAGCCAGGGCTAAACAGAGAAACTCTGTCTCGAAAAAAAAAAAATTATCTAGGGAGCTGAAGAGATGACTCAGTGGTTAAGAGCACTGTCTGCTCTTCCAAAGGACCCGGGTTCAATTGCCAGCACCCACATGGCAGCTCACAACTGTCTATACCACCAATTCCAAGGGATCTGACACCTTCACACATAAAATTAAAAAATAAAAAATTGGAAAAATTATCTGTCTGTCTGTCTGTCTGTCTATCTATCTATCTATCTATCTATCTATCTATCTATCTATCTATCT